GTAGTAGTAGTAGTAGTAGGCGTTGTCGTAGTAGTAGTAGTAGTAGTAGTAGTAGTCGTCGTCTTCATCGTGGTAGTCGTAGTGGTAGTAATAGTATCAATAGTAGTCGTCGTAATAGTTATTATAATAATAGTAGTAGTAGTAGTAGTAGTAGTAGTAGTAGTAGAAGTAGTAGTAGTAGTAGTAGTAGTAGTAGTAGTAGTAGTAGTAGTAGTAGTAGTAGTACTCGTAACAAGTGGCCCGCGTGCCATGGCTCTTGCACAGGAAGGACGGGGGAGCAGGCGGAGGGGGCGCGCTGGCTAGTGTCGGTGCCGTGCAGAAGTAAAAATGTTTGGGCGGAGGGGGCGCGTTGGCTGGTGGATGGGGGGATGCACGGGGTGGCGCCCGGGGTGGGGGAGGCGGTGCCGTGCCGAGATAATTCGTTCAGGGCGAAGGGGGCGGTGTCGCGCCAAAACAGAAGGGTCGGGGCGGAGGGGGCGAGCTGGCTATCGGGTGGGGGGGTGCGGAGGGGGCGCGGGCGGAGGGGGCGCGCTGGCTGGCGGGTGGGAGGATGCGGAGGGCCCCTAGCCGAGGGTCGGGGCGGGGCGGGGCCGTGCCAAAAGAAAGGGGTGGGGGCAGAGGGGGCGCGCTGGCTTGTAGGTGGGGGATGCCGAAGAGGCGAGCGGGATGCGTGACGTGCCGAAATAAAGGGGCCGGAGCGGAGGGGCGCTCTGGCTTGCGGGTGGGAGCATGCAGAGGGGGCGCGCGAGATGGCAGGGGGGCGGTGCCGTGCCGAAAAAGAGCGGTCGGGACGGAGGGGGCGCGTTGGCTTGTGCGTGGGATGATGCAGAGGGGGCGCGCGCGATGGGGGGGCATAAGTCGGGGCGGAGGTGGCGCGCTGGCTGGCGGGGATGGGTGATGTGGAAGGGGCGTGCGGGATGGGAGGGGGGCGGTGCCGTGCCGAAATGAAAGGGTCGGGGCGGCGGGGGCGGTGCCATGTCGAAATAAAGGCATCGGGGCGGAGGGGGCGTGCCGGCTGGCGGATGGGGGGATGCGGAGGGGGCGCGGGCCGAAGTGGGCGCGCTGGCTGGTAGGTGGGAGGATGCGGAGGGTTTATAGTCAGGGGGGCGCGCGCTGGCTGGTCGGTGTGGGGCTGCGGAAGATGCGCGCAGGAAGGGGGGGCGGTGCCGTGCCGATATGAAGCGGTCGTGGAGGAGGGGGCGCTCTGGCTGGTGGGTGGGGGATGCGGCGGGAGCGCGCGGGATGGGACGGGGGCGGTGCCGTGCCGAACTAAAGGGGTCGGGGCGGAGGGGGCGCGCTGGCTGGTGGGTGGGTGATGGAGGTGGCGCTCGGGATGGGGGAGGCGGTGTCGTGCCGAAATAGAAGGGTCGGGGCAGAGGGAACGCACTGGCTGGTGGGCGGGGCGATGCAGAGGGGGCGTTCGGGATGGGGGCGGCAATGTCCCGCCAAGGGGTCGGGGCGCAGGGGGCGCGCTGGCTGGTGGGTGGGGCGATGCCGAAAGGGTGTGCGGTATGGGCAGGGGGCGGTGCCGTGCCGAAATAGAAGGGTCGGGGCGGAGGGAGCGCGTTGGCTGGTGGTCGGGGTGATGCGGAGGTGGGGCGCGGGATGGGGGGGGCGGTGCCGTGCCGAAATAAAGTGGTCGGAGCACTAGACACCTTGTGCAAGAGAATAAAGCGGTCGGGGCGGAACGCTGACGGGTCGCACCAGTGCCGTGCCGAAGGAAAGCGGTCGGGGCGAAGCGGGCGCGCTGGCTGGTGGATGAAGAAATCGGGGCGGAGGGGGCGGGATAGGCGCGCTGGCTAGGGCACGGTGCCGTGCCGAAATAAAAGGGTCGAGGAGGAGGGGCTGGCTGCGCGGGGGGTGCGGGGGGGGGGGGTAGTAGCGGTCGGGGCGGAGGGCCCGCGACGGGGTCGAGGCGGAGGGGCTGGCTGCGCAGGGTTGCGGCGGGGGGGCCGTGCCGAAATAAGCGGTCGGGGAGGGGGCGCGTGGGCTGGTGGGACTGGTGCCGTGCCAAAATAAAGCGGTCGGGGCGGAGCGGGCGCGCTGGCATGTGGATGAAGAAGTCGGGGGAGAAGGCGCGCAGGTTGGTGGGGGAGGGGGGGGCGGTGCCGTGCCGAAATACAGCGGTCGGGGCGGAGGGGGCGCGATGGCTGGCGGGACTGGTTGCCGTGCCGAAATACAGGGGTC